TCTATCTATCTATCTATCTATCTATCTATCTATCTATCTATCTATCTATCTATCTATCTTCTTTTCTTCCTGGAACCTTGGAGATATTGTAACCTCAAGTCATGTATACAGGTAGTCCTCAACTTCCAACATTTTTTTTAGTAAAATGTCCTTCAAATAAGAGTCGGTTATATTATTCCTGGGTTTGATTTCAGGGAGCAGAGAGTGACTGGATGTATCGTATTCCTTCTGACAGGCATTTCGGTGTTCATGGCACCCATCTTGAAGGTAAATATACTTTTTTAGTTTGCTTATCTCTTCCATATCCTTCTTAGAATTCTGAAACAATAAGCCCTTGTTTATTTATTTATTTATTTAATTTTATTTATATTGCTGCCTATTCGCCTATGGCGACTCGAGGCAGCTTACACAATGTAAAACCATATTTAAAACAAAAAAAAATTAATAAAAATAAAAAACAATAAAAACTAACAAAAAGAATCAAATAAATTAATAAAGTACAATAGAACAAAATTTGGGGGAAAACCCCCCCAACTCCCACCCCTCCCCCCCGACTCCGACGACAGCAGATCACGCTAGCCATTTGATGGGCTCCATCCCACTCTGGGTTCCCCAGGCCTGCTGACAAAACCAGGTCTTCAGTGTCTTCTGAAAGAGTGTTAGAGTGGGGAATTTAGCTAGGAATTTCAAAAAAGGATTATACGTACATGCATACATACATACATACATACATACATAAAGGGATATATAAAGGGAACCCTCTGCCAGAGAAAACAGAGCTTGGGCAGGCTTTGCGCGGCCCACATGGGCTCCATTCTTGGCCACGACAGCCTCCTGCAGCCTCCTGCCAGCGAAAATGGGCTCCAGAAGGCCATCAGCAGATGAAAATGGAGCCCTGGAGGGCCACGTGCAGCCCTCCCGAGCTCCATTTTCACTGGCAGAGGCACTGTGGGGCGGTTCTTTGTTGGTTCCATTGGCCAGTTCTAAGCACCCCATGGGCTGTATCTGTCCTATGGGCCTTGCGTTTGATACCCCTATTGTAAAGTGTTAAGATTTGGTGGCATGTCCGTATTTCTGAGGATGCAGCTGTGCCCCATGGTTGAAAATAATTGCTTAGCAGGACCGTCCGTAGATTAATTTGTACAGTAGCCATGGTAGTTCTGGTTTGTATAATTTCTAGAAGAAGAATAGCATCCTTGAATCTTGAAATCAATGTATGGAACTGCCTTCAGAACTGCAGTGGATCATAGCAAACTCCAAGGGATATGTTGCAGTTGTAAACAAACAGATCCATCATCTTAATGTGGGGTTTTTTTTCCCCTGCTGAGCATGAAAAACCAGAGAAAGTACAATTAGGATATTGCTCATTTCCTTGTTACTTTAAAAAAAACAAAACCTCTTTCTGGTGCTTCAACAGCTCCTTTGTTGTTTATTAACAGACTGGTTAGGATTGCATAATTACTGTTGTGCAGAAGTGTCTGCGTTAGACACAAACATAGCTTGGAACAATTCTGCGTTGAAGCGATTTCCTTAGATTGTAGAGCAGGGGTGTCGAACCTCGGGAAGTTTAAGGCCTGTGGACTTCAACTCCCAGAAATCCTCAGCCAGGCACACTGGCAGAGGTGTCCTGGGAGTTGAAGTTCACAGGTCTTAAAATTGCCATGGTTGGGCACGCCTATTGTAGAGTGTGCTGGAAGGTATCTGTTTTGCCAAGGATCAGGTGTTCAGGGTCCCAGACAGTCGGTTCTTTTGGATCCAGAGACAATAAACAAAGCACTGATTAATGGGGTTTTAAGCTTTATTATTAGCTCAAGCAGACAAAGAGTTAAAGCATAACGTAAAAGGCCGACATACCAACCAAGATAATGTCCAAATCTCTTCTAGGCTATTGGGAACCCCATAATAAGGACAGCAGAGAAGCACACGAAGGGGTGGGGCAGAGCCCACAGAATCCAGTGCTAGGTTCTGTGCAGAAACTCACAACAAACAACACAACCCCAATGTGGGTTTTTTTTTAAAAAAATTAAAACCTGGCTCCGTGACTTCATGGCCCTGTTATAGTCAGGAGACTGCAAAGACGTTGACTGACTGGCACATCACTCTGGGATGGGAATGAAAATGTGAGTTTTTCACTGCAGAAAAAGCTTTGAAAGCTGTGTGAAGATTCTCCCACCTTCTTCTTTATTTAGTAAACAAAAAAGTATATAAAACCAAACACGCTAGCTAAAAATGAGCGATAAAAATCTAGGCCAGGAGTATCAAACTCGATTTCATTGAGGGCCGTACCAGGGTTGTGTTTGATCTGGGGGGGGGGCAGGTGGACGTGGCCAGCTTGATGTCACTCGTGTCGGGGTGTGGGTGGGGGCTTGTGGTGGCCTAAACGCTTGTGGTCCTCCCGAGCTCCGTTTTTGCTAGCCGAGTGTTGCAGTAGGCTGTCGCAGCTGAAAACTTTTATTGTTCTTATATTTATCCATGTATTCATAACTATGTTTTTATTTATACCTATTATCTTGTAAGCAATTGACAAACCAAATAAAATAAATAAATAAATGAATAAAACGGAGCTCGGGAGGGCTGCACATGTGGCCTTCCCGAGCTCCATTTTTGCTGGGAGAGTGTTCAGAGTTTTGCAGTGTAAATTCAGCTCCAGAAAAGTAAACACAGATGGCTGAGGCTTCATGTAACTTCTTTACAAATATAACATCAGTAATTTTTACAATACCAGTTGTAGATTTCTCCAACATGGAGCAAACTCAAACAGAAGCAGACCTATTACAGGTTCAGAGCGGAGCTCTAGTTTCCAGCAAGCAACTCAACTTCAGCAGACAAGCAAGCAAGTTAGTTTCTCTTTCACTTTAGAGCTGAACACAGAACAGAGATAAACCACGCCCAGATTCTCTGTTTAAGTTTCAGCCCTCAACTCATCTCTTATTGACTGACCTTGTTTACTAAGCTCTATTCCAGTTCATGAATAGACTCTTGACACAGAGGCACTGTGAGCCAGTCCTTGGCTGTTTCCAGGGCAACCTCACGGGCCAGATCTAAGCACCCTGCAAGCCAGATCCGGCCCTCCGGCCTTGTGTTTGACACCCCTGGTCTAGACTTTTCTTAATTTGAAGTGGAAATCAAAATATGCCACTAAACGCCTCAAAATAGCAACGGTGTTCCTCATTGCCAACGTAGTATCTTCTCAAAAGTACTCTATGCCACTTTCCCTGTACTTCCCAAAGTCCACACATTAAAAACACGCACAGATGCAAAGTGAGGAGAGAGCACAAATATACTTGCACGCACAAATCCACCCGGATCGCACGTACAGGAAACATACATACCCACCCTGATTTGACTCACAGGAACCCAGAGAAACAGACACGCTCTTTTGCTACACAAAATGAAGATACAGATGCCTCCTATGACCATTACTGGTTTAGGGTTGGAAAACCAGAATCGATATTCCAGATGTTTCTCCTAAGTTAAGGAGCTATCCAGATTCCAAAAGGCAAGCCCCTATGCAAATATGGCTCCCTCCGGTCTATAATTATCCTTTTGGAATGAAAAGAATTGCCAAATTTTAAAAAACGGCAGCCGGAGCAAGTCATCTAGGAATGTTGGTTAGACAATAATGTGGGTTCCCCTATGTAACTATGTGGGAACTATGTGGTGATATAGGAAAGAAATGGTAGAACCTGGGATGGAGACAAAAGAGGGATTAGCCTACAATCCGTATGTAGCTGCAAATCCAACCTCATTAATTCTGTTGACCCTTATCTAAGTCCAAGCAGTTGCTAACCCTTAGTTGATAAGATTCTTATGCATAACCATGCATATAAATCAGTGTAATTGGAACTTTACATGTTGCACCTGATAGGTAAAGAATTTAGATGACGGTTGTATGAGTCGTGGACTTTTATTTGTATAAATGAGTAAATCAATGCACATAATTTATGAATCAGAGAAGGGATGAACTGTAGATTCATACTAAGGATTCATTAAATTCATCATCCTTCTGATTCACCATCCCATGGTGGAAGTTCTGTTTACACAGGGCGTGGGAAGGATTTCTAAGAGCCCGATACATAGCTGGATGGTTTGAATTTTGAAAAACCATACCCATCCTCAGGACAACTAAACCTAGAATTGTTTGGCTTGTACCTATAATCAAGACAGATATCAGGTTAACAATCACCTGGTTGCAAGTTCGTGAGGATAAATGTTACTGGACAACATGACAAGTAGGAGCAATGGGTTGTTCTGGTTTGCCAGCAGCAGGTGCAGATGGCTGAGGTCTCGGAGAGCGAGGACTCTGATGAGGGGCCTGCATGTGATGCAGGGATGGGGCCAGGACTGTCAGGGTGCTGCCTTCAGAGCTTGTAGAGTCTGGCAGCAGTGACAAAGAGGACCTCGGGGCGCCTGTGCTCAGTGTGCATGCGTGCGGGGCTGCTTGAAGGAAATAGCATCTGAAGCAGCATGGGGGACTCGGGAGTAAGGTTGCAAGGTGATGGCTCCTCCCATTAGGGATAAAAGCTAGACTTTGGGGTTGGCTTCTTTGCAGGAAGCAAAGAAGTTCATTCAATTCCAAGTACTTGTGGAAGTCTTGTCTGTTCTGGTTCGTGTTTGAAGGATTTTTGGTTTGGAATATTTCTCTGCAGTTAATCTTGTATCCTTGACAACCTTTCATAACCTTGAGAGGGCTTGCTCTCATCTGGGACGATTAGTTTTAATGACTCTTTGCTGTGAATGAACAGAATTCACAGAGACGCATTAAAAAGGTTTGCTTTTCTATACGCTTTGTGTTTATTTGATTTGAATGAGGCTTGGATCAGAACAGTGGTGGGCTTCCAAATTTTTTTCCTACCGGAAAAACCATGGGAGTGTGCTTCGTGCGCATGCACAGCACTCAAATCCAGTCTGGTGCGCAAATCAGCTGAGCTAACAAGGGAATAGGACAGGAAAGGGTGGGGGTGGGTGGGTGGCGCCAGCCAGAGGTGGTATTTGCCAGTGCTCCGAACAAAGTCAAAATTTCCGCTACCGGTATGCCCAAACCGGTCCGAACCGGCTGAATACCGCCTCTGTGTTTAAACCCCACGTGTGATAGAAAGAACTTCATGCTGCCAATCAACTATTCAGCATGTCTTCATTGAAGCTTGCAGCGAAGATTCCTATCTAACCATATTATGTCAAGTGACTGATAACTTGGTCCGATCTGAGGCTGGCACAACCATGATTTACACAGTGGTGTGTTTCAAAAAAAAAAAATTCCTCTCAGTTCAGAGCTGGCTGAACTGAAGGAGACTAACATGTTTTTAAATCCCCTTTCTTCCCCCCTATTTCCCCCACAATAGCAACCCTGTGAAATGGGTTAGGTTTGAGTGACAGTATCTGGTCCAAAGTTATCAAACCAGTTGTCATACCTAAGGCAGGTCCAAAACTCACAGCCTCTTGGTGATTGGTCCAACGTTAGCTGGCTTTCACACCTAAGGTGGGACCAGAATTCCCAGTTTCCTGGTGATTGGCCCAAAGTCACTTGGCTGGTTTTCATGCCTAAGGCGGGACTACAACTCACAGTCCTGGTGATTGGCCCAAATCACCTAGCTGTCTTTCATGCCTAAGGTGGGATTAGAACTTCTAATCCTCTTGGTCATTGGTCCAAAGTTACCCAGCCACTTTTCATGCATAAGGTAGGACTAGAAATCTAGAACTCACAATTTCCCGATTTCTAGCCTGGTGCCTTACCAGTTTACACCAAACTCATCACAAAACCCTGAGGTTAGTTAAGAGGGAACACAACCTTGTTCCCCCTGTCCCACACCTGATTGTATAAGGTTCACAAAAATGGGGACCAGTGGTGGGGTTATTATTATTTTTACTACCAGTGCTGTAGATGTGGCTTGGTGGGCGTGGCAGGGGAAGGTTACTGTAAAATCCGCCTTCCCTCCCCAACCCACTAACCTGCTTTCCAGCTCCATTCTCCTGTGCAGGGCAACCAAAGAAGACCCAGCCAATCAGCTGGGACTCAATGGGAGGCGGAGACGAGATGGGGACGGAGCCAGTCAGAGGTGGGACTTGCGGGTTCTCCAAACTACTCAAAATTTCCGCTACCGGTTCTCCAGAACTGGTCAGAACCTGCAGAATGCCACCTCTGATGGGGACTCCGAAAAGCCAGGAGACAGATCTTTTGGGGTAGGAAAAACTTTTTTTTTTTTTTTCAAATGCCAGGTTCAAAAAGGTATGATGTTTCATCCCGTATCTCTTCCTTCCTTATAGAATGAACCAAATAAAAAATGGATTTCAAGAATATTCACTGTAAATTATCTGGGGGTGGGGGGTGGGGGGGAATCTCATTTTCCTTGTACTTTCAGCTGTTATTCAGAAGATAGAGAAAGACTTTGTCTCCTGATCTTTTATGTTCCTGCTGATTTTGGCTTTTGTGTTATAAAAACCTTGTGCAACGCCTCATTTCTCTTTCTGATTTTTCCTGGTTATTTCTTTTTTTTTTTTTATTGCTTGCCCCGGTTCAAACCTTTGCTGCTGCCAAACGTTTAAAGCAGGCTACAGTACTTGCTTTGTATGCAAAGGTCGTGTCTTCAATCATTACCTTTTCCAGATAGGACTAGAAGAGGTTTTGTGCCAGTCCAACCTTCCCAAATAAGGGTGGGCAGAGATGCGTCAGAAGTGGCAAAATTGATTTATTCATCGCAAGCGCAGTCATGTGGCATATGTTGGAAACATCCTAAATGTCATTTTCCCAAGGATAATTGCAACATTTGAAGGAGGGCAGCCAATTAGGTGTGCATCCACCTGTGCTCCACATCACGTTTTGCTTTTAAATCTCTGTCTTGCATGAGCCTAGACCTCACCAGATGCTGTGGATGGCTCTCAGCCAGCGGGAATTCTGGGAGTCGTAGTTCCGGCTCATCTGGAAATCAGCAGCGTGTACCGATAGCCCTCGACTTACAACCACAATTGAGCGCAACGTTTCGGTTGCTAAGCAAAACAGTTATTGGGGGAATTTCCCCTCATTTTACGACCTTTCTTGCAGCAGTTGTTAAGTGAATCACTTCAGTTGTTAGTCACACGGTTGTTAAGTAAATCTGGCTTCCCCGTTGGCTTTGCTCGTTGGAAGGTCGCAAAAGAGGATCACGTGACCCCCAGGTCATAAATATGTGCCAGTCGCCAAGTGTCTGGATTTTGATCACGTGTCCCTGGGGGGGATGCTACAATAGTTGTAAGTGTGAAAAGTGGTCATAAGTCACTTTTTTTCAGTGGCATTTCAGCTTTGAAACGAAACTGTGATAAGACAAGGACTATCTGTATAAGAATGCTGTTGAAAATATTGAGATAGATCAGTGATGCCTAACCCTTTCGTTGTCACATGCCGAAAGTCTGTGCGCACACACACATGTGCGCCTACACCCATAATGCGTGCGACCTCCCCTGCCCCCTGCGCATGCCCATACGACCTCCCGTGTGCACCGCGTGCCTCTGCGTATGCGTGCTTGACCCCGTGTGCACCATGCATTTCTGCACATGTGCGCGCAACCCCCTTGTGCCGTACACCTCTGCACATGCACGCATGTCTCACGTGCACGCACCACCTTCTGCGCATCCGCGGCAGATACCCAACAATCAGCTGGCTGTCGGGAGGCGCGCGCATGTTCAGTGCATCTGTTCCAGGCAACGGCTCGCGTGCTGGCAGAAATGGCTCTGTGTGCCATTTCCGGCACGCATGCCATAGGTTCACCATCACGGAGATAGAACTTCAGGGGTGCGATTCAACCGGTGTAACAACCGATTTGATGATTGGCAATAAACGACTGAACTCCATTTGAAAAGGAGGAATATGTTGAATATGTTCACTGATGCTCACTGATCGCGCACATGCCCACCCTTTAAAAAAGCCAATTTTTAACTATAATACCTTCTGTTGCAGTCCCGGTGAGTAAATCAGCTGAGGCGTGGTAAAACCGTTCTGCCGCGCGAATCAGCTATGCTCCAAAACAAGGAAATAAAAGACAGGGAAGATCAGGGGAGGGTGGGTGATCTCCAGAACAACCAGTTCAGCTGAACCAGTCCGAACCAGTAGAATTCCAATAAGGCGATTTGTTGATTCCTAGATAATTTGAGAGAAATAATTGGCACTCTTGACTGAGGGAATTGTAGTTATCACCTTCTGAAGAGAACTTGTTCATATATGCATATTCATAGGTCAAACACTCTATAAGCTCTCGACCTAGGACTGTTCGATTAATAGTGCTTTGGAGGGTTTTATTTTATATATCTATAGCCTGCTTTTATTATTTTTATAAATAACTCCAGGCAGTGAACATATTCAACGCACCTTCCTCCTTTTCAAATGGAGTTCAGATGTTCACTGCCGATCATCAAATCTATAGCAATCAAGTTACCAAATACGAATAGATTTTTGAATGTAAAGATTGTCAATATATTATTAGCAAGAATATCAAACACAGTGTTGCCTTCATGGACGGACAAATGGCAGCGGGTGGGTGGCGAACGTATTTAATTTAATAAATAAAATAAATGTTCTGTTCCTAAATCGGTCTTTCTGCTCAAGGTTTTCCAGTAGGTTCTGTCTTTGAATTCAGCTCTCCATCATCTAGCATCTAAAAATATTACAAATTTTGTAAATAACATTTGTTGCTTGAGAATAACAGATATCAGATAGTGGTTGGGAATATCCAAACTACTTGTCTGAGTTTTTATTATATGACACAAATTTAAATATGATTTAGTAATCTTGTGCTAAGTGTGGGGGAAACACCACTAGGAAAGATATCTTATTTAAATTTACTTTTTGTCTGTGACTTGTGAAAGTTTAAGTCTGGCATGAAGCACTTTGTAATCAGAAGCATCGACCCCATAAAACGTGCACTTCGTTGCAAATACAGTTTGTGCTCTAAAGATTAGAATGGCACAACATTTTTGGCGAGGAATGGTGATGTGCAGATGTCATGTTCTATGAAAGATGGGAAGGTTCTGTCTTTTTGAAACGCTGTCATGGAACAAATTTGTGAAAATATTAGACAAGCTTTGCATGTCATATAAGATGATAAAATCATGCTGATTTCCTGCCTCCTGAATGATAAAATTGTGTTGATTACCTGCATCTTGAATGGCACGCTTTATGTGTTCATTTTTTTCCCCCTTGGCAATTTATGATTCTATACATTCATTAAATGACAATTCAAAGAGTGGTGTGGTGGCTTAGAGATGGAAGTCTTGCCTCACAATCAGGAGGTAGAGGCAGATATTTCTCCCTCTGGGCACAATGAGAATATATCCGCTGAACCAAACTCTGCATTGGCAATAGGAAGGGCATCCGGCCAGTAAATATTCAACTCCATTCCAGTTGCCCAGACTCCATACAGTAAAGAATTATGGGACCATTAAGAGGAAGATGATGATTAAATGACCATTCAAACTTACAGTGGCACTGAAAAAAGCGACTTATGTCCAATTCTCACACTTACGACCATTGCAACCTCCCCATGGTCAATTGATCAAACTTGGGGTGCTTGCCAACTGGCATATATTTAGGATGATTGCAACATCCCAGGGTTCTGGGATTGTTATTTGCAACCTTCCTAGGGAGCTTCTGGCAAGAAAAAAATCAATAGGAGAAGCCGGTTTTGTTTAATGACCATTTGATTCACTTAACAACTGTACTAATCCTCTCAACAGCCATGGCAAAAAGGTTGTAAAACGGAACATGCTTCACTTACTAACCGTCTCGCAACAAACAAACAAAACGACCTCAGTTGTGGTCATAACCGTATCTCTGTTCATTTACGGTCTGTGGCCTTTGTTTCAAAATCATTTTTCAATAAAATATTTTACTTTAAAAACAATCAGACACCAGGGAAGCATGTGTAGAAAATGTGAAGGTTATGTATTGCTCTGTTATTAAAGCTTTACATTTGTTTTACTCCAGTTTTTTCCTTCGATTTCTCTGCTTAGTTTATTCCCATGCCTGTCCTGTATGGTGTGTTCCTCTACATGGGTGTTGCATCTCTCAACGGAGTGCAGGTAAGTGTCAACCTTCCCAGCCCAGATCTTTTTCACAGGTGCAGTAGATATTCTGGAGGCCCAAGCTGGGAAAGGGGTCAACGTTAGTCCATGTTGTCTTCCTTTCACAATAGGGGTGTCAAACTCAAAGGCCAGGGGTCGGATCCGGCCCACAGGGTGCTTCGATCTGGCCTGCGGGGTTGCCCTGGAAACACTGAAGGAGCGGCCCACGGTGCCTCTGCCAATGAAAACGGAGCTCATGAGGGCCGCGTGTGGCCCTCCCAAACTCTTGTTTTCGCCGGCAGAGGGTTTGCAGGAGGCCGTTGCAGGTGAAGGCGGAGATCAGGAGTCTGTTTTTGCTGGCAGAGCCCTTGGGCCGCCACAGGCACCCCCGACACAAGTGATGCCAAGCTTGCCACGCCCCCTGGCCACGCCCCTCCAGAGGTCAAACACAACCGTGTTGCGGCCCTCAGTGAAATTGAGTTTGACACCCCAGTTCTACAACCTAGAAATGGCCATTCGTTGTCCACAAAAGCACATTTAACTAGTTGCTAAGTTGCAACCACTCATCACACACACACACACACACACACACACACACAGAGGGCCCTAAAGAGTGACATCATATTTCCACATGGCTTAGTGGCAACAATCCCAGGAGTCCCTATTGCCATGGTTACAGCGAATTCCATGGCGTCGTGAAGCGCAACCTCGTATGATTGCTATTTGTGATTTCCCGCTGGCTTCCCCATTGACCTTGCTAGCCAAAAGCCAGCAGTTTCCCGGTTTCTAGCCTGTGCTTTGATGACTCGACCAAACTGGCTTTAAAGCCATCTCATTCTTCCCACAGTCATAGGATTTAAGATTTGGGGGCTTTGCAACCTAGAGGCATTTAGGATCACTGCATGGTCCTACAGCCATGTGACTGCCATTGGTGCGCTTCATAGCCTCCAACTATTCAGAGTCAATGGAGAATCCGGCAATAAAAGCTCAAGTAGCGGTCACATGCTAATTGCTAATTAACCATGAGGAATTTGCTTAATGACCCTTATGGAAATGAGGCAAATCCATCAAGATCATGGGAAATTCTCTCTTCTCCTTCCCTTTCCCCTTCCATTTACATCCTCTCCTCTTCTCCTCCTCCCTTCCCCTCCCCTCTTC